TGCACGGTTCGGCACGCATGTGATTCGCGGATTAACTGTTAAGTTTAACCATCATAGAGTGAAAGTTTATCATTTGCACATGTTTTGTCTTGCCAATTTACACATTCAAGCAATTTAAACTTGCGCGCTTTTTTCTGTGCGCTCAGCCGCTGCCGCCACAAAAGAAGTGCACACACGCAGAGAGAGAGACACCGCATGAAAAGCAGGGGTGCTCCGATCATGATTTTTGAGGCCGATCACCGATCGAGTGGCAAAACATTTAAACTACTTTTCTTACGTTATCAGAAACTTACCATTGACAGAAATAGTCAGCTCTACTGCCTTTCCTTTTGCATTGAAATCTTTATTATATATACTGTATATATTGAAATGAAGCTGAAAACAATTATAATGAAGCTAAAACATAATATAAACATTGTATAAAATATGGGAAAAAAATCATTGCAATCAACTGAAATAAGTTTAAGGTGAAGTATTAAAAATGCTAAAAATAAAGTGAAATAAAATAAATTAAATATAAATATAATTACAGATATGATAAAAGAACTAACATGAATATGAAAACTGAAAAATGTTCTATAATAGTATATAAATAATATCAATAAAGCTGTTCCTGCTAGCATAAGCTTCAGTAATTACTAATTTATCAACCATTTCCGTCAAATTAAGTCAGTCACACTAGAACCTAATTTGTCACTTTTTCATATTAAAGAGGGTTTAATACAATGCATATCCTTACTGTAATGAATAAAAAAAGCTTCAAAAGCTACCATACTAGCATATGAAAAATATTAGTGTTTGCATATAAACAACAATTTTTCTGTGCTATCTGACCATATTAACAGCATACATTATATATTTATAACTACAGGTAGATCCATGCACTTATGTTATTAAAAAAAAAAAGAAGATGTCCAGACTTTGTGCTGAGCTGCATTATTAAACACACATATACAAGACAGGATCTCCAAACACTGAGCTGAAGATAAAACACTGCTGGTGCACAAACACCACACCGCACTCACGTCTCCAGCAGCGCTGCGTGCAAACAGAACGGCTGTGACAGACCAGACATCACAACACATTAGCTGAGCTCTGAATCACTCAATGCCAAAGACTACAGCATTTCAATAACAAATTAAACATGACTCTGCACTCACTCTTTGTGCTTCAAGGAAACATTTTAGGGTTCAAAATCAGGTTTTGTTTTTGTAGTTTTGATGGGTTGATGTATTATTGACGATCGGTACTAAATGAAGGAGCATCATTTGTGATTAGCTGTCCTCTGACAAACCATAAAAGTTAAAAAGTTAGCTGTGATTTTCTGGCTGATCTCCAAACGCTGCCATATACAAACAGCTTGCCTTAAATACACTGTGTAGAGCAATTATCAATAATATGTTACATATTTTACACATACTTAACACACAAATAAATAAATAAAATATATAAAACCACATAAAAAAATAAATAAAAAAGGAAAAAGCATAATTACTACTACACAGTGTTATTTTAGTATCGAGGTACTATTATAATTTTTATTAGTATTTGTTTTAATTTTTATACTTCTCATTTTAATGTAATTTTGTTGTGTGTTATTATTATTATTATTCATTTATTTATTTATTTTATGTCTATATAGTTTTTTATTATTTTTATTTCATTTTTAGTTTTAGCTATTTTAGTACATCAAGTTAAACTAAAAACAAAAAAAGTTTCCTTGGGCAACTCCTTGGCAGAAATAAGATATGTTTTTTAATAATTAATTTCAGTTAATGTTTATTTACTAAGTAAGATTTTAATTTTTTTATTTTTAGTTTGTTAACTATAATAACCCTGCTTGTTTATTAAGTGCAATGATACAAACAATATTTTATTATTTTATCATTTTTAAAATAATATTTTTGAATTTTATGATTTTATTTTTTTAAATTAATCTAATTTATGTATTGTTATTTTTATTTATAATTTTTTTATGTGTGTGTACATGGGTCAAAGACGAAAAAGGGTTTAAGCATAAAAACAATACGTGTAATACTGCTTTAAATTGTTGTTGTTTTTTCCCAAAAAAATTAAAAAGTTTTCTGTTTAATTTAATTGCAATTTAGTTTTTGCTTTTCCGAGCAAAAAATAAATATCATACATTTTCCCCTGATTTACAGAAGAGACCCACTAAAATGTCATTCAGTGTAACAATCTTGTCAGGCATATTTACAACAAAAAAATCTATTTATGACATATTAAAAGACTAATTACTTTCACCCCAAATACTAATTAGTTGTAATTTTAATTTTTTTTAATTTGCCACTATCCTAGGTTTTGCCCATTTGTCAGTAAGAATTTTTTACTCATTTAAAACACAATAAAATGTAATCCGCTCCCTTATTCTTTTATATATTTTAATATGTACAGGTCAGAATAAGCATGTTGTTGAATTTTTACATAAATATTGTGTTACACTGAATGACGATGTAGCATTATTTCAACCAAATTTTAACATTTTATTCTCCAAAAACGTATTTGAAACCTTAAAAGTAGACACTTTACTTACATGTAATATGCTTTCTATGGACATAAAATCACTTTTGTAAATTTCTTTTGATGCGGACATCTTAACGTCTTTGACCCACATATATATTATTATTTTATAATTGGTGTTTAATGGGAAACTTTTATTTCAAAAGTGTCCAAAAATAAGGTCTCAACAGAGCAAGCTGACCCACATTTAATAGGAGTGCACCTTTAAACCGATCAAAATATGTGATGTACTTAATTCAACTCATTAATGTCCCGAAGATTCTGCGGTAGGTGATAACATTACCTTTCGTCCTGTATCTGGACATCTTTGGGCCAGGATCCTGGCATTTCTGTCACAAATCCCATGTCATCGTGGGAGCTGGATGATGATTGGTCAGACAAGCGGGCAGGAAGAACAGGTGGCCTATCATCTTCAATGATGACGGTGTCGTCCTGGGGCATGTTCACAGTGGGGGACAGCTGGTAGTGACCTGAGACAGAGAGAGCATGTCAACGTTACGCTGGAAAAACCCACAACTGTTTCTGAGATCGGACAAACTGGCTTTAAATGACCACAAAAAAAGTGACTCAAATCCCTCGGAAAATGTAGGAAGTAAGGTGTACACTCAGATATGACCAAACTGTCCCATATAAACATTTATGTACTGCAAAAGCAACAATTACGTTTGTGTCTGAAATCAAAACACAGGTAGAAAAAAGTCACTTACTGTAAGTCAACAATCCCTAAAAAATACACAAAGCAGACGGAGCGTAAACGAAGATGTTTGAGCAGAACAAAAAGCACATGTTCACAATTAAAATGAGGCATTTCCATCCAAACATGAACTTCTGGAGTTCCGCCGTGTTTCGTTCCAAGTGTATTTATTTCAACTATAAGTCATTTTGCAACTTTAGCAGCTTAAGAGCAATCAAATGTAATTGCTCCTAGATGAAAAAATAACCCTGGCGTCCTCCCAGCAAAAATAATACTGAGATTGAGTTTCAGTGCGGCCCAGACAACAAAATACATGAGCAGAAATAAATGAGTGTTTATGTGTTTCCAGGCGTTATGCCGAGCGTGCAGCGTCTGAAACTTGCAGCTTTAGCATGTGATAACAATTAATGAACACTTCATGACTGGTTTTATGTTAAACACAGGTCACGTAGGGATTTTATCTATAAAAATAAAAAAAGGGGGTAATTCAGGAGAGGTCAGACTATAAAATAAAATAAATAAAAATACAATACAATAATTAGGTAAAAATAAAATATAAATAAAATAAATAAAGATCAGTTTAATAAAATAAAATAAATTTAAAAGAAATAAAAGTAAATATAAATTAAACTGAACTAAAATACAATAATAAAATAAAATTGTTGTGTACCATCATGCATGTTTCTATTAAAATAAATAAAAATAAAAATAATCAAAATAAAAACAAAAATAATAAATAAATAAGATCAATTTAAAAATATTAAATATAATAAAATATTAACTAAACTAAACTAGTTGTGTACCATCATGCATGTTTTTGAAAATAAAATAAAATAAAATAAAATGCTCATGATGCAATTCTTATTTTTGACTGTCATTAGACATCGTAGCATAGTTGTTAAATATCTAGACTGCTAACTGATAGTTCATAACCTTTTGGGCAGATCACAAAATCACAAAAGCATTGTGTCCTTGTGGAAGTCAACTTTAGATCACTCCACAAGGGCTCTTTCTGTTAATAAGTATATGTCATTTTGGATTAATCATCACCAAAATGACCAATTTGTAATTAGTAGAGTCCATTAGAGAAGCTTTGTCATGTTAATTTAGTGCACTGGCATCAGAGCGTACATGGTAAAGGCCTCCTGAAATGTGTGAATGCACACACAATCCTGAAGAGTAAATGAACGGCATGAATCTTCAGGAAGTGAACAGAATTACAGCGCTGTCCTGTGAGACTCAGCTTAACTTAGACTAATCAGACATTTAACTATCTGCTGCGCTAAACTTTCATTGTTAAATCATCAACATGTACGCATGACAAACATTACAAAGCTCAGCTTGAGGAACTTGAGGATGAGCAGCGTTTTCACTTGAGACGAGACATTTAAAGGCCGTTTCCAGCATCGCAGGGGTGAGATATGAAGACCGAGATCAAGAAACTATAAGGAGTTTCATTTGATTTCATCAACACGACTGACGAAACACTTAGAAAATGCAAAGCACTGGTGGCTCTGGAGCTCTCAAGGTCGCCTGGACGTTTACAAGAGGCCTTGATGCTGCAGGACAGGAGCCCCGCTGGAGATCCACGATTCATTCATTCATTCATAACGCTGGAGAAGCAGTTACCGAGCGGTTGTATATATACAAATCTTTACATAATATATGTGTGTAGACATCTTAATCTACTTGTACTAATCATTTCTTTTATTAATTAATAATCATTATTTTCTAAAACATTTTAAATATATATTTCAATGATTTTTTAAACAAATATCATAATGTATTAATTATAAATATCAATGTTATTGCTTTTTTTCTGCATCTTTCTGCAAGTGCACCAGTGAAGTTTAATTTGGCAGACAAATACTTTTTTTTTTTCAAGCAATAACACAAAACTAAGTCAAACTACTTTGAAGAAACTTAACTGAGAGTGAATAATTAATATACATATTTATTTCTTCATCATGATATCAGGACCATGATATCGCCCTGACAAGTTTCACTTCATGCCTAAAAAATAAAATAAAATAAATAAATAAAAATAAAAAATTAAATTAAAATTAAAATTAAAAAATAATAAATAAATGAATGAATGAATGAATGACTTTGGTTATTTAAACTTTAATTCAGAAACTGGAAAAAAAAATATGCTGGTCATAGAAGAGTCAAAGATTAATAAACGTAAATTAAATGCAAAAATGTCCTCTTTTTTTTTTTCAAATGAATTAAAAAATGATTAACAAATCGGACCCTATAGCATATTAAATTTCCAGAAACTGCCAGTGACCAAAATTAAATCCACATGAAAAAAATAAATAAAACTAAATAAAGAAAGGATCCATACACTTAAAAGGTGCAGGCTGTCCATGCAAGGTCATTTTTTGCTCATGCAGAACATGGTTTTAATTGGCTTTACTGCTGAATACAGTCGTATCTTGCATTAAATGAGGCCTTTCCTACAGATTTTTTGACACAAGTGCTGACCTCCTCATACAAGGAGAGTTACTCTTGGCTATGCTAAATGGCGTAAAGGACACCTATAGAAATAGCCACTGTGACACTGTGAAAAGGTGAAAGTCTTTAACATGGAAGATAAAAACGCTGCGACCACAATTCTGCTGCGGTCGACTAATTGGCTTACCGTTTTATTGAGATTATAACCCCCGTCCACCCACTTACACTCATGATTTCATGGTGAATCATAAAAATCTGCCTAAAAACGGACCTCTTAATTGCAGGACAAGAAAAATAGCGAAGGCGTACTTGGCTTATCATACATTAGTCTCTGAGAAGAGAACAGGAAATCAGCAGTAGAGGAGTACAGCATTTCTAATGATTTGTGAAGGCACAATGAGGTACCTGCTCAGTAAGCAGTACCAAAAAAGCTCTGCGGGATGTTCTTGAGAGAGCTTTGTTCTGGAGGGAAGGTGTTAGTGACTGACAAATCCTGCTGACATATTCTCAGCACCTTGTCTAGATCCATTATCCAGAGTGTGGATGAGAGTCGAGGGGTGCGATGTGAAGAGTTGGGTGGGTTAAAAGTAAGACTAATTGTCGCCATCTTAGTGCTGATGTGGCCCCTACGGTGCAAAAATAACTTTATTACCCACTTAAAGAACCTCAAGAAACACATTGTTCCTCTAGAATCGTTTCATATAACACAACCTAAACATGATGCATTTTGTCTCAAACTGGATGACCGAGGCAAAAACAAAAGACTGTTGCTTTACCCAAAAGAGCTTTCCTTACCAAACACATCGTGCTTTTGTTTAATCGTGAAGATTGCTTGCATCCCGAGGACATTTGATTCAGGTCATTTGAGGATAAGCATCAAGGCTATCATGTGCGGTCTTTCCCAGACCGTTGGGTCTCATGAAGGAGCCGTTTGTGTTCGTAACTGTCTCTTCTGTTTAATCTGCACTGAATTCTGCTTGCAGGGTGCTGATGGCATGGTGGAGGCCTACTGTTGTTTTCTGTCATGCTGCGATCAAACGACCCCTCGCAGGGTCTCTCTTGCTATAACAAATAGACCCCCATGCTTGTTTGCTGGGCCCTGAATCAAAACATTGTGGGAATGGACTGATTGGCGTACAGAGCAGCGTTGGCCCCCGAAATCAGGGTTTGAACAAATAAACTTGAATGAAATCAGTTCCTCGATGGTGCATCCAGAATGACAGAGGGCAACAGATTTTCAGGATGCAGAGGGGAGCTGACTTTGAAGAATCACTCATCAGGGGACCATAAAAGCTATCCTGCTGCTACTTGTATTTCTTGTACATCAAGTGTAAATAAAGCATAGGGTCAAAACCTTAAAATTAAGCAACTCTAAGCTGCAACACAGTAGGGCTCATTGGAAATATGTGCCTCTAAATACATTTCTGCAGAACTGAAAAAAAAAACATATCTATACATACGAATCGCTGCAGTTTCCAGTTGAAATGAACACTCAACTTTTATTCCTTTTCGCACAAAGTATGATTTGCAGGTACACAGTTTTGATCAATAAAGCCTACTTTTCGCATAATTACTGGAGGAATAATATGTTATGAATTCAAAACAATTTTAACATGCTGCGAGATTTAAAAACTGATACTTTTGAACGTGTCGTCACATATACAGCTTCATACCGTATGCATGAGTTTTCTAATTCAGTAGGTTTGCTCACACGCGATACAGTGTTGCACTTGAGTGATGAAGAGCTCTGGTATGAACCTCGTTAAACCACGGTTCAACAAAACCGCTCATGTCCGCATAAGGAAGTTAAAATAGCACGGCTGCATCAAGAAATGCATTTTTATTTCACTTTTGCATTTGTTAACACTATCGGGTAGGTTTAGGATTGGGTTTGGTGTAGGGGATATTTCCAACACGATAGAGCATTACATTTTAGCGACACTCCTCGGATATATGAATTATGAACCACCGCAATACGTACCTGAAGCAATGTAATACAAACACAGCAATACGTGCCTATATCAACGTAACAAAAATGTGACAGTGTAACATATTGAACCCGCGTTTTAGCGCCACTCACTGGATGTTTCATTTTGAAACTGCCGTGAAATGTGCAGTAAGGTACGTAATAACGGTGTTGCAGAAATTTATTTAGAGGCACGTATTTCCAATGAGCCTGGGTTGCTAAGCTGCTAATACAAGTAAAATGTAGCTGAAGAAACTGGTTGACCATCATGGTTTTTCTGGTGAAGCTGGTTGAACATGGTGGTCTTGATGGTCGAGCTTGGCACAAAACCAGCATGGCAACATCCAAAACAT